TTTAATCAATTACACAGTAATTTACAATAATTTAATTGGCCACACAATATCCAGTAAGTATAAAGTTACATTGATATATAAAAAAAATTATATATTGAAACAAAAAATACTTTTAGAGCATAATATTATGAAACAAAAGGAATATTCAAATTATATTGAAACACTAAAATAGTAAGAATCAGAAATGCTGAAATCGTTGATCTAGACATTATGAATGCAAAACCAAACCAAACTTAAGAACAAAGTTTTAAACAAACCTTTCGACCAAAAAAACAAACAAACAAACCTATCACTAAAACTTAATTAGAGATAGAATGTCCAGTCTTCAAACAAATTTGGTTTCTAGAACATGAATAGCAAACTCCAAACAAAGATAGAGAATGAATGAATGGCATAATTTTCTCTCAAGGGGCAAGGCTGAATGGCAATTGGTTCCATACTCTACTTACATACTTTAGCCTTGACCAATCCCATCACCAAAAAAATTGATCTGCAACCCATTTGGATCAGTGGTATCACTTGCTTTGCTTAACTTTTTATCCTTCCCATTAACTTGCATAAGAAAGAATAACAAAGCTTTTGAATAGGAATCACAAATTTAGACTCAAAACACACATGAATGGCAGTACCTACGATGGCAAGTCATAGAGGTGCAAGTAGTTGTCCTTGCATGAGCATAACAAAACCGGCTTGGCTTCTACATCATGCACGTCACAGAAAGTTAGCACCACATGAACAAAAAGTATCCTGAGATTAGACATCAATCCACACATCAACAATGTAGTTATTTATGTTCCTTTGTGGAGTGCAATCTTCAACCAATCTTTATTAATAAGATCAATCAGTTGGTTTGCTTTTGAATCATTGTACTACTTGATTCAAAAGGTTCTTGATGCTTCTAAAGATAAAGGCACATGAACAGCCATTTGATCCGTACAAGAATAATCTTTATTTGTGAGAATCAAACACTGATTGAGAGAATAGAAGAAATCTTGGTCAAATTGAAAATCACATATGATGCAAAACACTAACCAACAAGTGTGACATAATAATACACAATGAGAATAGCAAAAATTGAGAAGGGACATGTGTCTTCTTGTGTCAAAGTAACAACTTCTTCAACATCAGAGTTACCCTTGAGCACAGCAACGACTTTCTTTGCGGCTAAGAAGAAAACATATTGTGGATAGTGGAGGCTGAGAGAGACGCCACCGAAAGAGGAATGGAGAGTTGATGAAGGAGAAATGAGGAGGCGCGAGGGTTGAGAAGGAGAGGAAGGTGTGAGGAGCCATGGCACTTGAAAGAAACGATTGGGAAATTAAGGATGGAGTTTTTTTTACAGAGATGGAGTAATATGTCGATTGTGATAAATTATAGTTGTGGAGGTCAACCGTTACACCTGAAAATCGAAACTGCATGTGATGCTAGTTTCGCAGTTGAGAATGAGGCAACGGAAGAGACGGCTCGGTGTGAAAGAGCAGGAGATAATTTTGATGGGTTTAAGATGGACCTCAAAGATTAATTGATCGGAACCCAAATGATTGACCCAGTTAAAAAATGATTGATAAAACAAATGTTACATAGCGAAAGTATAATTTCTCATTGGTTGATTTTTTGTACTTACGTGGACATCCTCTCTGATACTCTTATTCTTTTTTTTTTTTTTATTGTATGATGTTAAGAGACTTCAATATTGTGGCAATTATTTTTATGTCTTTGAATACGAGGGTATTTTGCAGATTATGACTGAAATATTCAGTTTTAATTTTTTTTTATAATTCAAGAATAGTCTTCAAAACTAAGAAAAAAAACTCCAATAACTAAATAATGTGGTCCTTAAAATCAAGGGAAATTAGGTGTAATAACCTAAAAAACAAAATTTGCTAACTAACAAAAAAAATCCTTCTCTCTCCTATTTCTTCTTCCTATCTCTCTCTTCCCTTCTCTCTACAAATCTAAATATATTTTTTTTGGTTATTCACCAAAATCACCTCTACCCTAAAATCAAACCACGCATGAGGAATGCAAATAAGATGAAAGATTGTACAAATATGATTTGATAAGAACAACTCAACGATGTCATCATTCCAAATCATTCATTTACAGCTAGGACCACACTTTCGTTTTTCATCTTTGACTTTTCGTTCAATATCTATATATATATATATATATATATATTTTTTTTTTTTTTTTTTTTTTNTATATATATATATATATATATATTTTTTTTTTTTTTTTTTTTTGATATATACTATTATAAATTACGAGAAATATTAAATATATGATATTACACTCAACAATTATATATGTTTTATGCGGATTTACGTCTAACTGCATCACCCTGAGTCGCCCTATGACATATCTTCCTGACGATATTCCTTGCGCCATGTTAAAGATCTCTTGTAAACATTTTCTCCAATCTTCTACATAATACGCCTTCTACAAAAATTGAAACCTAGAAATTGCATAGTCTGCGGTAATGAATATATAGATTTGGGGTAAACAACCTATTTCTACATTAAAATTATCATATAGTAATAGTTTCATATAATCTTTCATGTTCGTCATAATTACATCTATTTTAAATATATGAATCTAATTACAAAATGTACATTTTATCCATATTTTCAAAGATCGAAATCTGAAATCACACATACGAAGATTTAGCTTGGTTTTGCTAGTTTAGAATCTTCTAAACTAGTTGGTATCGAACTGAAATTAAAACTTAACCATCCGGATGTTCAAACAGAAATTGACCCAACATCTTAATAAAGAGTTGCGTTGAGTACTATTTAAATATCATGTTCAGTTGGATTTTAATTTCAATTTGATAACAACTGGTTTACCTGTTTGATATTGATTTAGATTCTAAACTAGTTAAATCAAGTTAAATCTTCATATGTGTGGTTTCGAATTTCAATTTTTGAAAATAGATATAAATAGGTTCATATAAAATGTGTATAATTAGAATGAATATGAAAAAAAATATGTGGAACTATTACTATATGATATTTTTAGTGTTGAAATAGGTCGTTTATCCATAGATTTTTTTGATCATACACTATTTATTCGGAAACATGTAAATGCTTGACTTTTTCAAGGAATACTAAAAAAATATTCTTTTTGTTTCATTTTATATGTCGTTTTAGAGGGAAAAATGCATTTCAAAATAAGTATCGTTTTATAATTGCAATCCAAAATTTATTTATTTATTTATTTTTTAATTTTTATTGATTGAAATGTGGTTAAGTGTATAAGTAATAATATTTTTATTTTAAAATATGTAAAATTAAATATTTTTTTAATCTGTCTACACAAACTTAGAGTGACAATTAAAATAAAACATAGGAAATATGTCAATTCTCAATTTCTAATGGTAATGAGGTATATACATTCACACATAAACAGATAATTAAGAAATGAGAAGAAAAAAATAATGCATTCTAAATCCATAGCATTAATTTTTGAAAAAATTACATCCAGAGACACATTTTCTCTTTTCAATTACATCAATAGGCACATGTCACTTGAGACATACTTTTTGGTTGTTGTTTGTCTGATTTACCCCTAACTAAATTGGCAATAGCACACTTCATTCTCTCTCCTCTCATACGAACCTTTTTTCCATAAAGCAATACAAATCATTTTATTCCATTTTATCTTTCTTCTTCTCTCCTATCCACTTGCACCACCACAGATCGAGAAAGTACAAAATTTTACTCTTTCTTTTAATTTTCTCTCTCTTTTAATTAGGTTGTTCTTTTCTAGTTATTTTGTTCTCTCAGTTTTTGAAAATATTCAATCTTTTTCAGATTTTTCCTGCTTGAATTTGTAATATCCAATTTCAGATTCAAAAAATAGTTGTTTACAATAAGTTCATAAATCCAGAAATCTCTCTGCTGGATAATTAATTGTCTATTTCCAGATGAATATTCAAGATCCTTCTCAGTTACATGGAACTAACAAAACTCGTCAATCTCTTGTGCCTTGGAGTGAGGTAGGCTATTTAGTTAAAAGTATAAAAGAATCCAAAAAGAAGAGTAAACTCATCGGTGGGTATTGCTTCCCTATCTACATGGTCTTTGACTTTTTAGACGAGATTCTCTGGTGGATTTACATTGTCTATATAATTTTTAGACGATATTCTCCGGTGTATCCATATACACATCTGTATCGGAAACTCTACAATGTCCACATCATCTTCCATATTCATACGTACTCTCTTTCTGTCGGAAGTTTTACAGTGTCCACATCCACTCTTCCGTATCCACATCTACATATAAAGTGACCTTTTCTCATACTATACAAAAGTATTATAAATTCACAAGAGATCAATCATACGCATCCACATTTTTGTATACTAAAATATTTCTTTCATATATATTTACGATACATAAACAACCCATCTACAAAATTTTGATCTTAATATTCAATTATAACATCCACAAAATTCATGTCCATATTTTTTTGTCCACATCCACCAACACAATCTAATAATTTACAATTTCAACAAATAGTTAAACATTGAAGTATAAAATATATGTATATGGATATCAAAATAATAAGAAAAAAAAATTAGATTTCTATATGATTATTATATATTTATTTACATATTAGAAATTGAAATAAAAGTAAATTTAATATGATGGGGTAAGAAAGTACAAGTTACTCTATTCCTAAGATTTCATATTGTTTTCCTATCAAACGATAGAAAATTAACTAAAAAGCTAGCAAAGATGTAGTCTCTACTAACTAAAGAGAATAAGACAAGAGGTAAAGGGCATTTCAGTCCAAAAATCATCTCGAAAACTGTAAATGTGTGTCTCCTACGTAATGTGTCTTTAGATGTTAAAAAAGAGAGAAAAGTGTCCTAGTGTGAAACTCACTCTTAATTTTTCAAACTCGTTCTATAATTTCATTAGATATATATATATATATATATATATATATATATATATATATATATATATATATATATATATTATCATATAAAATACTCCACTAGAGTCAATCGTGAAATGATAAATAAATGACTAAAAAGTGAAATAAATGATTATATCACTATATGGACCGACATCAGTTGTTATTACGTGAATTTCTAATTGCCCTTGGCATATTTCTTCAATTCTTCTCCACTCTATTCTTCATAGCTAGTTCAGTCCACGCGTCATCATTCCTCCGACTACCCGAACCCAAACCCAGGTCCATACCCGGATACCAATTCGACCCGGTTTCGTAACTAATCCCTCCCATCCCGATACCCGAAGCCAATAGCGAACTGAATCTCGGATCTCCAACCGGTAAACCGTATAGCGTCCGGGTCGGATCCTTTTCCTTACCCGTCATTCTTTTCTCTTCTTCCACTACTTTCGGTCGGGATTCCTCCTGTTTCTGGTCGGAAACAGCGACTGTTTTTTCTTTGAGGTTGCTGCTCGACGGAGAAGAAGAAGAGGATCGTTTAGTGTGCTTACGAGATCCGCCGCCGACGGGGATGTTGCGGAGGGAACCACCTTTGGTCCAGTAACGGCGACAGTTTTTGCAAAAGTGACGTGGCTGTGACAGGTTGTAGTTGTTGTAGTAACAGAACTTGGTGTTGGGTGAGTCGCAGCGAGGGCACTTGAGCTGCTCTTGGTCCAGTAACTCCGTTTGCTGCTGCTGCTTCGCCGTCATCATTAGCATCGATTGGTGGTGGTAATACGCTGCTGCTGACGTCAGATCCTGCATCCTCTTTTTGAGAAAATTAAAATTTTGTTTTTTTTATAATTTGTTTTGAATAAAAATGAAGTCTGTCTTGAAAAAAGAACAAGAATGTAGTAAATATAATTTCTGCAGAGCTTTTATAAAAGAGAAAGATGGAATCGTATGTGGTGTTGGAAAATTTCAGGTTATGAGTAAAAGAGAAAGATGGAATCTTAGAGCAAGTCCACCAATGAACCCCCCTCGGAGTTCATAAGTATTTTTTATTATATTTCTGGTGGGTTCAGGAATAGTGTTGAACCCGAGTGGAAAGTGTATCTCCATCAGTGAACTCGAGATTGGAGTTCATATGATTAAAATAATATATATTTTTAGAAAACATAATTTTTTTTTAAAAAAGTTAATATTTAATGAACATGAAATTGATAATGTAATTTTTTAAAGAAATCATGAATATGAAATTGATAATTTTTTATTTTTAATAAAACAAGTTTTATTCAATACATTGATAAGATACATTGATAAGTCATGAACATACAAATATTATTAATGTTGATTACCAAATTTTTGCCAATATTTTCAACCAAATCAGCTTTCAAACGAGCATGTGTCTGTGAATCTCGAATTTGATTGCGAACACCGTGCATATTACCGGCATGTATAGTTGTTATCGTTTCAACTTGAGAACTTCTGCTTGACTCTCATGTCTCGAACTCAGATGTATCATAGAGAGTGTATGTTTCTAGTTCGTCCTCTACTATCATATTGTGCAATATGACACAAGTTCTCATAATCCTTCCAATTTTATTTATGTCCCATAGTAGAGCTGGGTTTTTAACGATTGCAAACCTTGATTGCAATACTCCAAAAGCCCGTTCGACATCTTTTCTCGTGGATTCTTGACGTTGAGCAAATAGCTCTGCTTTAAGACCTTGAGGAAGTGAGATGGATTGGATAAACGTTGACCATTTCGGATAAATACCATCGGTGAGGTAGTACGCCATACGATAGTTGTGGTTGTTGACCTTGAAATTAACTTTAGGAGCTCGACCTTGTATAATGTCATCGAAAACTGGTAACCTATCAAGAACATTAATATCGTTGAGGGTACCTGGTAATCCGAAAAATGAGTGCCATATCCTAACCTCTTCCACGTCCGGTTCCATGTGCTCTGCTTCCTTCCTTTTCTCAGTTGGACCATCTCTGGACGTAACGTTAGACTTCCATTTCTGTTCGAACCGGAGTGCCCTCCAACAATGTTCAAGTCCGAACTTCTCCCCGTGATCATTTGTGTAGATGTCATTTGCAACAGTCATGACATCCATGTCATTGGTACCACTTTGAGGCGACTTCGTAGCTGCCTCAAAGCATCCCACAAACTTACAGACATCCCCATTCACTCTCCCCCATCTCTGCTTGCATTGGCTCCACTCTCTTGGAGCTTGGCCACTTAGCTGAGGGCTAGCATTGAAGTACTCCTCAATTCTCTTCCAAAAACAGACTCCCTTCTGCTCATTACCCACTATGGGATCCTTACTGGTGTTCAACCAAGCGGAAATGAGCACAAGGTCTTCTTTTGTCTGCCACTTTCTTCTTTCAAACGCTTTAGGAGGCTCAGGAATCTCTACGTCTATAGGTTGACTGCTTTGGGACGCTAACAGGTTAATAAACCTGGGAGAATTGTGGTAAAAAGGATCCATTAAGGTTATAGTTGTTGATTAAAATTTTGGTTTGTTAAGAAGATTATGGTTTGTGTTTTCGGAAGTTCAGAAGCTCTCTTTTTAAAGTGGTTAAATTACTGAAACTCAACAACCAAAATTCATTAAGGTTAAATTACTCAACAACCAAAATTCATTAAGGTTCAATTTCTCTACAACTACATCAGACAAGACATTCAATAACCCATCATATCAGTCTAAGGAAAGCAAACATGAGTCACAACAACCAACAACAAACAATTAATGTTTTTTAAGTACTAGTTGAATTTTAGTTTCTTTTTAGGTTAGGAAACTCAATCTCGCTAAAGAACTAGAGGACTAGTTCTAGCAAACCTAGAATTTGGTTTTCAAATGTTTATCAGTATTTAGATTTTTAAGTTTTTTAAAAGAAAACTTATTAAGAACTAGATTATTAAAATAAAACTCAACCCTAATTTTTTACCTTGACATATCAGTCGAAGCACACCTTCACCAAAGCAGCCATCTCCACAGTGAGGTAATCTACTTGGCCAGACAAAATTTTAACCTGTTCCTGCACAAGTTCAAAACAATTAAACTTTGGAATTAGTCACATTTAACTATACTGCATAAAACTATAGCAATTTAAAAACCACTAACCTCAAGTGACTCGATCTGTCTAGTGATACTCGAGACCCCTTTCATCACTTTCTCAGCCTCCTCCACGCGCATAGTCAACCTTTCAATCTCCTCTTGAACACCAATGACCCAAGGCTGCCTATAATGTAAACCATCTCCCTTGTAAACAAAGAAAAACACAATGAAGTTAGACAATTTTTTTTTTAAAAAAACACAAATAAAAAATGCTTGAAATAACATTACCTTGTACTTAGAACAAGTGAAGAACCGCTTCCCCGGGATAGTGTCAAAGTCCTCCTTCCCACTAACCTCGTCGATGATCTTCGCACCACATCCACACCTTCTTGGCATCCCGAACTCAAAATCAGCAACGTAGCCTAGAATGTTCAAGTGTTCCTTCAACCTCTTTGACTGTCTTCTCTCTTCCGCGGGATCCATCTGCATAAGACAAAGAAAAATAGAGTTAGTATACTAGAATGTTTCATTCTTATTTCATTTCAAAACTAGTTGGGACTCTCAATCTAATGTGATCGAATCCTAGTGTAAATACGGATTGTTATAATTTGTATACAGATTACAGAGAACGATGTTACATACTAATCTCAATCGAACAATCAAGACCATAAACGAAACACCCCAAATCGATTTTTTGAAACCCTAAATTGAAATCCAAAATCGATTCGTAAGTAACCCTAATTGAAGTCTAAATCGAACCCACATCACAGTTTAGAATAATAAATCAAAACCCCCAAATCCATTTTTCGAAACCCTAATTTGAAATCCCAAATCAATTCGAGATAAACCCTAATTGAAGCCTAAATCCAACCCACATCACAGTTTAGAACAATAAAGAAAAACCCCCGAGTCGATTAATAGCAAAACCTAAAAACCCCTAAATCGATTTCGATTTCGATTCCCCAAATTCGTTACGAACCCTAAAAACATGAACTTGAGACAGTTAATCGACGAGAAACTAACCTGAGATGATCGAGGATGCACACCGTCGATGATTAGCCGGAGTAAATCAACGGTCTTCGTCGTCGCACCAAGAATCGCCTCGGAGCAAAAAAAACCCTAGGTTTTTTTCGAGAAAGGACGAAATGAAAAAACACGCGAGATCCTTCTTTCTTCGGGTACACCGCGTCCTTCAAACGTCCACTCCACACGCGACACGTGTCTTGAACCCGTATCATACGGGTTCAGAGCTAAGACGCGGATCACGAGTAATTACCCATTTTCTTATTTTCTTTTCCCTTCTGGGCCTATGAACCCGAGCCCACGAATCTGCTTAGAACCCTCAATGCTCTTGCTCTTATAAGATAGATAAAGAGTGGAGATATTTGATGGGTTTTATAGTGTGAGAGGGAGAGAGATATTATATCACAAAATGACAATTTCAACACTTATTTTTTTTGTCATTTGCTAGATTTTATTCAAATCATTGAATTTGTGAGATAGAGAGAGGGATGTTACAAAGCTGAGATTGAAGAGTTTGAGTTGCTTTTTAAATTGACATTGGTTTGTGTTGATCTAAATTTCAAGACTAGATTTTTTGTTGACTTTAGATATAGGTTAGTATTTGGAAATCAGGGTTTGTTAATTTGACATTATTTTTTTGTCATATATGTAGTCCGACAATCAAATTTGTTTTGATTATTTAGTGTACCCAGTTATAATTAAAATCACAGTAAAAATCGAACATTGATTTTCTGAAACTTCATTACGTTGTGATGAATTTGTACCACAATGCAGAACTTTTTCAATAAAATCATCATGTGTTCATGGTGATACAATAAATTATATATGTTCGCTGCTAAATAACAGTAGATGTAAAGTTTTTTGCGCATACTCTTTTATTTGTTTTGAGTTTACCGGTTCATTGTTTTAGAGTTATTTTAGCAAAATAAAATTGGTTGGACAATATGGAAGAGCGAAGTTTCATCGAATTTTCCTCCAATGTCCTTCATTGACATCATTTCACGCGTTGAAACTTTGGTATGGACTTGTTTGACTTAGCTAATGTCGTAGAGTGTTTACTTGCTTGTCATTTTTGTTGGGACTATCATTTATTAACCATTCTTATACTGTATGAGGAGTAGTATTTGCTTACTCAATTTATTAAGAGAATCAGCAGTAATAAAGAACAATTATTATATAATCGACGAGGGTACACAAACCAGGCGATATGATGCTCTTCACCCACTATGGCTTCAGAATTAGCAGACACAAAAAGGATAGCGTGCTTAACACGCAAATCATCATTAGACTTGAAGCCCTATCTCAGAACATCGAATCACCATCTTCACTTTCTATCGTGATACACTGAACCTAAGCCCCAACATGTGTCGAAACCTGTTTTGTCGTCACATTCAGCTGCCGTCATCCATGACTGTTTCTATTCCTATCCTGACGTCACTTCTACGGCTGCGATGGACGATGAAGGCATGGCTTCTTTTTCTGGTATAGCTCATTTTACTATAAGATTTGGTATCTGATTCGTTCGGACTTTCGAGTACTCATGTTTTTTTTTAATATAGACTTTCGAGTACTCATGTTCTGATGTTCATTTGTTGTTGGATTCAAAGTTCTTTATCGTTACTACTTATATCGTATGTTTCAATGCTGAATGCTTACTGAATTTGTTTTCATGTTTTTATATGTTTGTCATAAAATTAAATCAATCACGTTGGATCAAGCAATTTACCAAGAACGTAACTGGGTATATATTACTATAAGAAAATGCACCGGATAGTAGACACGTTGCTTTACTATTTTGCACCTAGTTCGAAATTTGGTGGACGTTCGTTAATATCACACTACAAGAAAACTCGTCAATTATTAGGATGAAGTTTCCTCGTTATTTCTTAGTAAATGACCATTTACTAGGAACTTATGAGGAAACACGTTTCGTCGAAACACATTCATCGTAAAATCTTTTTCCTCGTAAGATCCTAGCTAATTTATAAGGAAATTTTTCCTCGTAAACGCATGGATAACT